ATATGACAGCGAAAAATAAAAATGTTTTGTTTTAATGTTATTTTTTACATATAATTTCAATATATTACCATTATTATAATAAATTTATCAATGTTACGATGTTTTTAAAAAATTCGTCGAAAAATTCTCATCTTGGAATTAAAAATTTTCTATAGAGACTGATTTTAAAATCACCAAAATGTTGACAAGTCGCCAAATTTAGAACCATTTAATAAAAAAATTCATATCCCCAAAAGTAAAAATTATTTAAGAGCTTTTTATCAGAAAAAATGAATTTTGAATGCTTATGTTTCACTTCTGCTTAGAAACTCAAGTATTACATCATTTACCTAGAAATAAAAACAAATTATAATCCCTGAACGCATTCATAAGATACCATATATGTCAGTGAATCGCCAAAAATATTCCTCCAAAACTCACACTCAAATAGCAGTTGTAAAAACAGAAATTTCAGATGATTAAAACTAAAGACCTTCTGCTGATTGTGGCCAAAATTAAGGACTTTAAAACAAAAGTCCACAAAATACACTTTGAAGCTCTATCCAGAACATTGGAGCTGTGCTTTATTTTTTAAGGACCAAAAATCAATTCAAAAAAACCTAAGGACTTTTAAGGACTCTTAAGGACCATACGAACCCTATATTATTGGACCTTTGCATTCAACCTATTACAAACCCCTACGCATGCAACACTTTTTGGTGTCAGAAGTGGAATTGAATGGCAGTCACAAGAGCGGTGGAAGAACAATTAAGGCAGTTGGTGTGGCAGCCTTTGCTGTGTTTAAAGAACACATGGAAGCTTGTCAAGAATCAATTAAAAAAAGAGATGGAAGCAGTTAAAGAAAAGATGGAAGCTGGTCAAGTATCTGTTGAAGAAAAGATAAAAGATATTGAAGAAGAGATGAACGTAGGACAAGAAGAAATGAAAAGAGAGATTACCTGTATAATAGAAAATAAATTTGAGGCTATGGAAGACAGAACTGATGCTGTTGAAAATAAAATTGAAGAAAGAGTTTCTTCTGTAAAAGAACAAATAGAAGAGAGGGTTTTCTTCTGTAAAAGAACAAATAAAAGAAAGAGTTTCTGTTGTGGAGCAACAAATCGAAGGAAGAGTTTCTGACATCCAAAAACAAATTGATGATGGAGTTCCTGCTGCTGTCGCCAAAGAAGTTGACAACTTAAAGAAATGCTTAGCGACAGCAGAAAACAATTCTGAGGATTTTAAATCCCTCTCTGAAGCTATCCACATATGATGGGAAGACCTCCTGGCAGTGTATGAGACAGAATTTTCTATAGTGACAAATGCGAATGGATGGGATTCTCAGGCTAAGGCTGTCATCTCACCGCTTCTTTGAGAGCAGATAATGTGGATATTCTACAAACTCTCCAGAAAACCACAAAATAGACTTTTGTCTCTATCCAGAAAATCGGAGCTGTGCTTTGGCGATAAGTGTTTGGAAGATTACAGCAGGCTTCAATTACAATCCCTTCAACAGAAGCCCATGGAAACACTCTAGGAACTTGTCACAGATGTTGAAAGGCTGTCCCATCTCATGTTTTTGGAGTAACTGACAGAAACAAGGGAAATTATGTCCCAGCAATACTTCACTGACAGTATCCATGGCCCTGAAATACAGAAAGCTCTATGAATGGCAGATGTCAGGAATTAAAAAAAAAAAACACTCTAGCATATGCCTTGAAATTTGAGGCAGCCCAGCAAGGAACTCATAGAAACCGCCAACTAATCAGAGCTGCTAAAGTCCATGAGCTAATGGATCAAGTCAATGCTCATCTAGAGGATTTAACCAGACAACACAGAGCCTTGAGATGGAATATTAGTAATATGAAACCAACCTAAAATGCTGGAACTGTGATGCTGAAGGCCACATACGAAAAAAACTGCAGAATACCCCGGGCCACAGAAGCTAAAACCTCTCCTAGCAAGAAGCAGAGGAACTAATTAGTGGCCATCTCACGAGGCAGAGGTATGTTTAGTCAAACCATCCTTAATAACCTCTCCGTGGTGGTTTCCAGAAACCAACAGTAGTGGGACAAGAAGTAACCATTGTTTTTACTGGCCTATCATAGTGCTGATCACGAGACTACCGGCTATTCCCCATCCTAGATACTTTTTGTTCGTTACCTTCATCGGTCATGCGATCTCTTGTTTCGTCACCCTCTGTATGCATCTTCATTGCCTGAGGAGTAAGTACACCCAAGATATCCAGGCCTGGTTTGATGTGATGCACAATTTTGCACGACAGCGAGTCAACTTGGCGATGGAGAAGATAAAGAACAGATACAACTGATTCAACAAAGGATACAAGGTGTGGTTGTAAAATCCGATTCAACAGAAAGGACTCTATCCTAAACTACAGTCACTATGGGAAGGTCCATACACAGTCCTAAACAGGCTGAATGATGTCGTACTTTAGATCCGTAAGTCATCGAATTCTAAGCCTAAAGTCGTCCATTATGACTGGCTAGCTCCTTACTATGGCCATAGTACATAGTGTATATAAGGTAAATAGTTAAGACCATGGTCCTTTTTGCTTCTAAATTTGTAAATTTGAGCATTCATTTATTGATTTAGTATTTGATGTGTTTTAAGTTATTTATTGTAATTATTGTTTACGCTGGTTGTTATTGTAGTGTAATGTTTATTATTGCATTGATGTTTTAATTGTAAGTATGGGTTCCTGTCCAGGGATTGTACTGCCTAGGACATGCAGTCCTTAAGAAGGGGAAAGTGTTATGAATTTTGTATTTATTTAGGTATTTTTAGTAAAATTATAATTAAAACTGTTGTATTTCCCTGTGCAACACAGCATGAGACAAATTTTGAGAGAAAGCTACTTGAAGTGAAAATACAGGAGCACGTGCATTTAACATTTAATAAATAGGTATCTCTTTAATTTGTATTGAAATTGAATAAATGTAATTGACCACTATGTTGGCTGCAACCGTAATTACATCTTCTTTTTTTTTTTTTTTTTTTTTTTTTTTTTTTTTTTTTTTTTTTTGCTTTCCAGAAATTTCGAGAAGCAGAAGTTACTTAGAAAGTTCTTGTATGACCGGTTGAAATCTACAAAAGTCCAGAGAGAGAGTTGCTTAGTTGGTGGCTTAGTTACTGTTGTTGTGAGTTTCGTTCTGTGTAAATTGAGGTATCTGAATTAGCTTTCTCTTTGCATTGCATTACATTTTAACGTTTTAAGTAGTTTGAAGTATAACTATTGATTATACTGTGTAATATTGTGAACCCTTATGCAAATATCTACCGGAAAATTGAAGCATTCTGATATATTTCTTTTTATAATAATAAATTTTATTAATATATTATTGGACTTGTGCATTCAATCTATTACAAACCCATACGCATGCAACAATATGTTATTCAGTTATAAAATACAACTTATTTACAGTTATAATTAAAATATTTTGTTTAAAATTAAGGAACTGGAATGTATATCAAAGAAACTGAAAAGCAAAAAAGGCCTCAGAATGTCAGTTATTACCTTGAAATCTTAATTTTCTTGAATTCTCAGCTCAATTAAGTTTTGCTATACAGTACAAAGTCTGTAATCCAGATGTCCATTATCCGGAATGATCTATAATCCGGACTTCAAAGCCACAAACTTTTTTGCATGCTTTGCGCATGCGCATTTAATGTTTACGCATGCGCATTTAGCACAAAAAACGAAGCAACTTAAACAACTTACATTGAAAGAAATGTTTAATAAAGTAAACAAATAAATATTAAGCTTTTTTTTTTTTTTTTTTTTTTTTGGTAAATTTTGATACCCTTTAGATCATAATTGCTCTTTATTTCATAAATTACGGTTTAATATTTTTAATTGTATAATTTCTGCATGCCATCTTACCAGATTTAAATTGATGATATATAATCCGGAATCGACGAAGTCCCAACGAGTCCGGATTACGGAATTTGTGCTGTATTTGCTTAGTAACAAGCACTGTGACAATCAAAAGAACAAATGTAAATTTTGCTGGCTATTTCAAAATGCTATAAAATTGAAAATAAGTAACATATAATACAAATATCTTGTATTTATAATAAAAAAATCTTCAATCAGAATACATGTAGAAATTTTGCTGACAAATCTAAAGTAATAATCTAATAAAAGGCAAAACTGGTACATGAATACCATTAATGAAACTAAAAATTTATATTATAGATGTTTAAGAACTTATACAAAAAATTATAATAATTCATATTTTTGAAAAATATAAAATTTTATTAAAATTAACATAATAACTTTTCTTTCATTTTTAAAATAAAACTAAAATATCATATATTTCTGAATATAAGTTGACCCATATATAAGAGAAGAAGTAAGGTTTTGTTACAAAAATTCAGCTAAAATTGAAAACCTGTAAATAAAACTGATATTAAAATTGCTTTATAAATCTAACTATATATTGCCAAAAATTCAAATAACTAGTCATCTAACTTAACTAGGTCTAATGGATTAGCTGAAAATAAGAGCCAAGTATTTATCCTTTCAAAATATAGGAAAGAAATGATGGTGTGATTATTCAAAAACTGTTGCATCAAACAAAGATATCAACAAAACTGATGATAATATTACTTATGAGATATTTATTGGCAACTTTACTACTGAAATAGAGGTTGATACTATTCACCCAGACTTTCTTATAACAGAAAGAGACTTCTAAGAATTCCCAGAAAATTCTGAGTCATATACTGATATTGAGAAGTTTGATTAAAGTACATTAGGATTAAATAAAAAAAAAATATTTTTTAAATTATTTCAATCTTTTCAACTACAGCCATTTTTTAAATTATTCATTTTGGTGATTAAATGATTTGTAAGTCATTTTGAACTTATAAGCTGAGCCCTAGACTTCAATGGCAAAACCTTGCTTAAAAATTCTCGGCTTAAAAACAAAGATATACTACAATAACATTTCTTTAAATATTTCAAATAATTTTTTAAATATTACTTTCATAATAATTACCATTTGAAATCTCAGCTTCAGGATTTTTGTTGAATTCAAAGGTTTTGGGTGCAGATATCATTAGTTTTTTATTAACAATGTAATTCAAACCATACTGAGTGCTTATCACAACATCTAAACTACGTAAAATGAGGAGTTTCAAAGGCAGAACCATATAGGGTTGTTTGAACAACTCAATTAACAATTTGGGCACTTCCTTATCCTGCAAGAAAATACAAAAATTATTTATAAAAGTACTTTAAGGAAATCTCTGAAATTAATAAATGAAAAAGTTATGTTACATTACAGAAGATAACTTTATGCATTATTCTTTAAATTAATAACTTTAAATGATAAATCTAAAATCATACCAGCAATTTAGTGATAATTTCTGCATTAGTTTGAAACAATAAGGTAGCTAGACGAATTCCAGCTTTCAAATGGCGAACTTTGTAAGCAGTTTGAGGTTGTTTTAATGCTAACTCAAAATCCAGACCATCAACAGCCCAGTTAATTAGAGTATCAAGAGTTCCTAAAAATATGGTATTTAATTACATTTAAGACCAATATCAACAGTTCCTGAAATAAAGAATAAAGGACACAAAGACAATGTAACAGTCATTTTAATCTTTATTTACATGATTTTTTAAAAAATGCGATATAGAAATAAATAAATAACAATAAAAGAAAAACTATACTATGATATAAATAGTTGCAATGAATTAATGAAAACACAAAATATTTCATAACAAAAAAAACTTTTAAAAAAATAACAGAATTATCTTTATATTCTCTTTTTTAAATAAAACCTTTATTATTTTATAAAAGGTAACAAAATTATGATTAATTCAAAAATTTCATTTGGTCATTTTAAGACAACTTTTGGTCAATGGAGACTCAAATGCAACTTAAACCTAAGGATTCATCATCTATATAGAAGCAAATTGCTGCTACAGATGCCAGTGAGCAAGTTTCTTCCAATACATATCTGTATCTTTAATTTATATGTACATTTTCTATATAATTTTTTCTTTATTTTATATTTATGGTAAGTAAAACATATACATATTCTATGTCATTATTCATCTTCCAAAATACACTAGAAGAATGAGATTATCCACCACATAGAATGTACATCTCTTTTTTTAATCTTCTCTGAAAGAACTATACAAAAGTATTTATTGTACAAATGTCATAACTCTAATGTACTCAGAACTAAACGGTAAATGAATTTTCTTCGAAACAGTGATTTAATTGATTTGTAATTTTTGACTCAGTGCCCATAAAATGCTGTTTAAAATTTGCCATTCCTGAATACTGTAAAAAAAATATGATGTTCAAGTTATTGTGCTCCAAGAAACAAAGCTTAAAGAAACTTTTTGTCTCAAAGTCAAAAACTGTAATAACTTAAGGTATAATAGACAACATACAGGTAGTGGAGAGTTAGTTTTTTTAATAAAAGAAGTGAATTATCAACAACCAGACCTCTCACCGGTAATAAATTCAGGTTTAGAAATTCAGGGAATAAAGATAAACTGGAACAAAAAGCATCATAATGTATTTAATTTGTATCGTCCGCCAAATCAAAATAGTATATCTGGAAATCTGCATAATGTTTTTGGCAACAGCACTGTTATCATGGGAGACATTAATGCTAAGCACACTGTTTCGGGCAGCACTGGTGTTAATCATAGAGGCAAGGATTTTCTTAACTTGATAGAAGATCATGCGTTTTGTCCCTTAACGATGGTTTAAAGACTTCAGTTACAATACCGATCAGATACTGGACTTCAGTTACAATACTGAGGAGGCTTCTTCTTCCACTTACAATACTGAGGACATTATTGATTTAACTATGGTCAGTCCTGATCTCTTCCTCAACTGTTCTTGGAACCTGCTTCATAAAATTGGAAGTGACCATCTGTCCATTTTGGTGGAAATCAAGAGAAATAGGAGGAAAATGAATACTACTAAGAATTTCTGGAATTTTAAGAAGGCTAACTAGGAGTTCTTTCAAAACCTTATCAATCAAAAACTTATTGCAGAGCCATCTCATAAATATCTTTATACAATATGGCTATTTTACAAGGAAAGCTAATTCAGGCTCAAAACAAGTTATCCCAAGAGGTAATTTAAAAAACTGACTTCATTTTACATGCATGACTCTTCGCTCTTGAGGCCTCTCTTGAAGAAAAGGCTACAACTAATTCATAATCTGAGGGATAGAGGTAACCCTTCAATTAAAACTGAACTCTCAAAATTAATGTGGAAATAAAGAGAACCTATGTCTTGTGTAAGAGAAAAAGCTCGAACAACTTCGACACTAAAATTCATGCTCGAACTTCTAATACAAAACTACACTGCGCATGCGTCGTGTTGACGCATGCACGTAAGGCCTTTACGGCTGAGAATAGGCTTGTGCGCGTGCGCAAAATACGTTTACGAGTGCGCGTTTAATGTATAACGGACGGTAGAAGCTAAGCTAAAACTATTTAATTATCTATTTCAGTTAATGTTGCAGATTGCGTTGTTCCTTAATCTTCGAATTGGATCTGGCTTATTATTTTTTGCAGACTGTTAGAGCAATTTTATAAAAGTAAGCTTGAACTTTCGATTATGTCAAATAGAATTTCTGATATATATTTATTAATATGTAAATGATCTACAAAGTATGTTTCGAAGTTCATTAAACAAAAAGTGGAATTGCTACAAAAAATGGATAAAGGCATATCCTTTGTTTATCTAAACTTTAACATTTGTTTATCTAAACTTTGTCTATCTTTAACGCGCGGCGCGGAGCAATGAATTGGAAGTTGATCTGTCAGCACTATCCTTATCTTTAGGGCAGATGTTTTTATTTTATTTGGCTTATAATTCCTTATTAAATGTAGTATTTCATCTCGATGTACTCCATCTTTGATATGATTTAAATCAAATTCCTCGTCATTATAATTCGCTTCCGATAGCGAAGAAAGTGACAGAGGTTATTGAAAACGAAAAAATTTCAATTGACAAATTAGTCGGTATTCTCGACACAGCAATTATAGGACTTTAACCGTGGAATTTTGTAACTGAACAAGAAATTATGTCTGGTTTAAAGAATTAAAGAGAATGTAATCACATAAAAACGAAGCAACTTAAACAAACTTACATTGAAAGAAATGTTTAATAAAGTAAACAATAATATTAAGCTTTTTTTTTTTGTAAATTTTGATACCCTTTAGATCATAATTGTTCTTTTTTTTCATAAATTATGGTTTCATATTTTTAATTTTATAATTTCTGCATGCCATCTTACCAGATTTAAACTGATGATCTATAATCCGGAAAAATCGATAATCCGGAATCGCCGAAGTCCCGATGAGTCCGGATTAACGACTTTTGACTGCACGAAGTTTGTATCTCCATTTATGATGATCACGGGCAGCTTGCCTATAATGATAAGGCTGCTGCTAATCTACTGGGTCACCACAAACAAAAAATAATTAAGCTAACTTTTATGAGAGAAGATAAAATGCTGAAAAATAGGGCTAGGTGCATTGTTCACAATTGCCGAAGTAAAATACATAAAAAAGGCATTTTCAATACAGAGTTCAAGATGGAAGAAATGGAAAATGCCTTATTACCACTTGATCCATCTAAATCTCCTGGTCCTGATAATATTCATGTAAAATTATATATAATCTTAACTCTGGAGGTAAAGAGTCTCTCTTGGAAATTCTTAATAAATCCTGGAAGCTAGGTAGACTTCCTCAAGACTGGAAATGTGCTCTTGTTGTGCCAATTAGAAAGCCTAATAAACCAGCCAGGTTGCCCAACAGTTTTAGACCTACTACATTGACTAGTTTCCCTTGTAAACTAATGAAAAAAATTATTATACACAGACTGACATTTTACTTCGATTCTAATGATTTATTGCCAAGAGAACAATATGGATTTAGAAGGGGACACTCTGCTTGAAACTTAAAACCCACTAACCACACTGCAGCTGTGTTTTAAGACCAGAAAAACACCTGCCTGGGGCAGATCTTTCTTTGTTAATGTTAATGAATCCTTTTCTAGAGACTGCCTATGAGTCTCCTGTCATTCTCATTATATTTGACCTATTAAAAAGACCTACTTTCGTTTTGGATTTATTGATGATTCTTGGACTCATGAATCTAGTCTAGCCTAATGTCTAACCAGTTAGGATAAGTAGCAAGTTACCTTATTTCCCTTGAAGCACTAGACAGAATCCTCAGCTACAAAGCTTGTGAAATATTTAATGCAAATCTCAAATTTGAAAATTTGGCAAACGTTCAAAATTTTCCCTGCAACTGCCTAGTGAATTTCATGTTTTTTAAAAATTACTATGCTACTCATAGCTGAACAAATACGTATCTTCTTTTTAAAAGAAAGTATGCAAGCTGAAAGACACTTCATTCATATTAAACAAAAACTATTTGATTTACTGCAACAAATAAATGCAAGAAGACAATTTATAAAAAAATAAAAATTAAACACACACACACACACACAAAATATGTATTTATAAATTATATAATATATCCCACCTCATCAAAAATGATTCCAACAGTTGTAGTAGAAACCAAAAGAAGGGGGAGTATGAAATTTTTCAAAAAGAAGTATTTACCCATTCCCATTTTGGGGATCAAGAATGTTTTTAATGTTACTCCCCTCCTAATTTGTGATTTTTCACTTATTTTTAAAGTTATGCATTTAATCATACTCTAAACGTAAATAGTTCAAATTTAGTTTGATTTAATATATATATATAAATGGCATTTGTTTCAAAAGTTTGCTTGTAAATGACACATTATACCTGCAGAATACAATAATCTCCATCTGGGACTCGGGACTAAAGGTATACAGTGTAAAATGATTTACTGTTTACACTACAAATAGGGCTTCTGTTTTCATTCTAGTTATCTGTTGCTCCCAGATATTTCAAGCAAGTGATTTGGAAACATACCTGTTCTTAGCTATTGTGGTGGTGTTCTTTTTCTCCATTCAGCCTAAGAATTTTAACAATTTTTAGGGCAAATGGTCATGAACTCTGTGCTGAGAAGTTGTTTCATCTAGAGATCTCCTTTGGATTACAAGAAAGCAATCTGGTTGGATTTTCATAAATGACTTTACTATTACAATTTGCATTCTTATAAATATTTTTTGATTTATTCAAGTTGGATAATCATGAGTCAAACCAAATTTTGAAAGCTAAAAGAGCTTGAAGAATATTGAAACAAACCTTGTATTGGCAAATGATGAAGAATTTGATGGCACTGTTGACAAAGTTGAATTGCCACCAGATATAGCTAATGACTTGGAAGATGACAAACATACCAGCAGCATTTCAATTTAAATGATGTTCCAGGTTCACTAGAAATTCATGGATGGTGTAATGAAGAGGTTACAGTCTCAAAGAAATAAAAATCTAAAAAAGACAAACCCATATCGAAGTGAAATAGAAAGTGTGCATCATTCAACATGCCTAGTCATGGAGAAGGAGAATGCAACTAACCTGAAATAAACATGACAGAGAGAGCAAAACATAAAATACCAGCAGAAATTTTTCTTCACAGATGATCTAGTAAGCCATATCATACAGCAGAGTGTATCTTATATAGCTCAAAATAATCGCCACCAGTTAATGCTCTCTGGAGATTGTTTCAGAAGCTTTTTGGGATTTTTACTGTTGATTGGATATCAATCTTTACCTCAAGAGCAGATGTACTGGTCAGAAGAAGAAGATATAATGGAAATAAAGACAGGTTATTAAAAATACGACCAATTTTGGATGAGCTCAATAAGACAATTATGCAGTTTGGACTATTTTTGTATAATTTGAGCACTGATGAACAAATGGTGCATCATTATGGTCATCATTTTCTGATGCAATTTATTAGAGGTAAGCCCATTTGCTTTGGCTAAGCAAGGGAAAATGCAACAGCAAGGGAAAATGTAAATTAGCTAAGAAGTAATTCAGTTGGTAATACGGAATAAGTTAGCAACTATAGAAAAATCAGAACACTGCTTTTATTTCAAATTACTGCTTTAACTTTTTCATAAGTTTTGATTTGATGAAAAATCTAAAAGAAAGGTATACCTGCAACAGGAATGGTAAGATATAATACAATGAATAAAAACCCTATAAAAACAGATAAGGAAATGAAGAAAGAATTCAGGGCTTTTGATTATAGATATGATGAAATAAATGGAATACTTGGCTTGGTTTGGAAAGATAACAACAATGTTAGGATGTTATCAAATCATTTGGAAGTTCTACCTTTCAGACGTGTGCAAGGATGATTTAGAAAGAGAAAAAACGGGTGATAATTCCACAGTCTAATGTCACTGCAAATTTCAATAACAACATGGGTGGTATTGACAAGCTTGACTGGAATATACAAAAGTATAGAATAAAAACTGGAGACAAGAAATGCTACTTTCTTATTTTCAGTAATGCAGTGGATATCGCCCTAATTAATGCTCAAACAATATGCTGCATTGCTAATGTTAAAAGACCTTTATTAAATTTCAGAAGAGTAGCTGCAAGGTTCAGTTTGAATTTACATTCTGTATATGACTTGAAAAAAAATGGAACACCATCCTACAGAGCGAGTTCACAGAAATGCATACCAGAAGATATGAGAAACATTCTGAAGGTCATTATTTAAAAAGAACATTAGATGGAAAACAAAGGAAATGTGCAGTTTGTAAAAAAAAAGTTTGGAAACAAAATGTGTAAAGTGTGATGTTGAATTACTTGTAGAATGAATTACTTGTAGAATATATTACCGTATTACATACATATGAAAATTACTCATATGCATTTATTTATGCATAACATACCGTTATCCTCAAATAGGGATCAATTTTTATATTAATACAAATCATATATTTATTTTCAATAATGTAAAATTTAGTGCACTATGTTTGCTTACATGACAAAAAGGAAATATAGTTGTAAAAAAAATCTGGTAGTTAATGGGTTAATCACAATATGAATTAATATAATGTATGCATATCAACAACCTAATAAGATTTTAAGAATATTAAGATAACCATAAGCATTTATGATGACAATTTATATATATTATCTTTGAACAAACACACAAAGACTTAAGACAAGTACTCCATAATATTTAAGTCTTTAAGGGAAGACAAATAAATCTATTTAACCAAGATAGGAGCATTTTATAAAATAGACATTTAACAACATAGGATGGGAAAGTTTGCAACTAAGTATCATAGCTTTAAAAATCTGAAATTATGAAATAATTTTTGCCTCCTATTAAACTCTCACAAAGTTTAAACCATCCAAGATTTTACATCGGTCATACAAGTAATATTATATTATGCTACTAATAAATTTAACAATTAATTTTCATGGATGAGAAAGCAGTGTAATTGCTTGTATAATGCAACTCTTTCTACTTCTTCATCCTTACTAACATTGCAGAAGTTCCTTTGTGACTTTTAAGTAGCAATATATCTTTTATCTTTATATTTAAATTTAATGCTATTTTGTAAATATAATGGAAATCATTATAGTGTTCAAAACATAAATGAATCGCTGAAATATACAAAATGTATAGTCATTCAGAGCACACACAAATTAGAATACAGACTTGTTCCTTTAATATTGTTATGAATTTTGTACATATATACATTTTAGTGAAATTATACCCGAAATTGTAGTATTTTTTGTATAATGTAACATGAAATGCTTGAAAGACACAAAGCTCTGGTGGAAAAATAAGGTTACAGGGGCATAACATTGAGGTAAATGGCATCTTACTAAACTGGTGAGATATTGCCAAGCTGACAATGGTTTTGGTGACTAATTTTTGTCACCAAATCTGGCGAGAAACCATCAAAAGTCACCAACCTTGGCAACCGCTTAACAATATTTTGGTCCGGTCCATGTGTTCAGTCTTACCTTCCTGATATATGAACTGCAAAATGTAGAAAATGCCTCCAGAGGGTAGTGCTGTGCAAAAGGGGAAAATCCCAGAGTGTGTTCTCACTTTGGAGAAGTGAGAGTTCACGCTTTTGCGGCGAAAGTGTTGAAATAATTATAGAGGTGTGAAATAAAGCTACAGTCCTAACTTATAAGTGTTTTTGAGTTATTGAGAAGTTCTGCTTATGATATGAACTTTCATCCTGTATAATAATAGATACTGTAACTGAATAATTGTAACTTATCATATCCAACCCTTATACATAACTTTAACTGTATATGCCTTCCAGTGATTATGGATATGGAAAATAGTAGAGATTTCTTAGCAGCTAGGAGAAAACTAAGTTAAATAAGTTTGGAGGGAGCATCAGTTCTGAGTTGAAGTATGAAGTAGTTGAGTATCTGAAGTAAAGAGAGATTTTCGTGTGAGCTTCACCTTTTAGATACACTTTGCATTGTGCTGTGTTTAACATTCTTAGTAGTTTGGAAGCATAACTACTGATAGTGCTCTGTGCATTTGAGAGAAGAGCTGTATCTGTATCTTCCGTGGAAAGTTCCAGAACTAATTTTATCAAGCTCTCATCAATTCTGTGTGCATTCAATCTATTATGAACCCATATGTATGCAACAACATTAACTCATTTTAGTTTTTCAACTTACTTTTGAATTTCTCTTCAGACTTGACAGCTAGTAACTTTGACAACATAATTTCATTAACTACTTCCAAAGTTTCTACCCACCTAAAAAAAAGTTATTCTTTAATTACTTCTTTAAAAATAATAAACTTTAATACTTTGTTTTAAAAATTTAGATACAGAACCCTCTTCTCCTCTCCTTTTTGCATTAAACCTTTCAAGACTAAAAATGAAATTTGCTTTAGGATATAGAGTCCCATTAGATTGAAAGGGGTAAAAATGGTAATACATTAGTTCTATTGAACAGGTTAATTGTAAACTTATAAACTGCCATACAACCTCTTAAACAATTATCCTTCAAAAGGTACATTTTTTTTAAAAATATTTTATTAGCCCAAAAAAATATTTACCACATACATAAAGTGACTTCTCCAAGAACTATAAAACTTTATAAGATAAACTCACAGTTCCAACCAATTTCAGTCTTCTATGCAGTAGCCATCTTAGAAAATATAACTATTATTAATAATCATATCATTCAAGAATTTTATCACCAGAATTAAACATTTAATATCCCCAACAAAACATGATAAATTAATTATTAAATTAAATTAAAATCATTAGTACAATGCCATTTTAGGGAATGAAAAAAACTGCAACAAAAATATGTGCACAAAAATGTCAAATCTAACAAATGTGCGCATTTAACCGAGTGCAAAATCTAGCAAATGTGCTGATTTTAAAGTGCGTAAAATTAGATAGTTCTATATTTGCAAGTCGCCATTGAAATACTAGTTTAATTCCTTAATTCTTTTTTGATAATGCTACTGGATTTAACAATTTAGGAATTACCTAATGAAGAAAAGTATGCAAAAGAATTTTTTTCAAAGAAAAGGCATCATTCATGATAAAAAATTATGTTTGAACAACCATGAGATGAAATTATGCTTTAATAGTAACTGAGTAGCAAAATGGTGGTGCAGGAAAGAAACCTGTAATGAGAAGAAAGGATTAAGAAGTCAAAATCAGTTCGAAGACATCAAAAATCTCCTTCCTTACAGCCATTTCATAGTTTCTCAACTTTATTTTGCCCACTGCCCACTTTGAGAAATTTTTTTTTTTTTGAATCTGAAACAGCTATTGCCATGATTATATTTAAACATGTAATATTATACATTATAGTCATAAGTTAGGATAAGACCCTATCCTTACTTTGAGTTTAAAGAAGACTGTTTCAATGAAAACAATTAAAATGCATTCTTAATTATATTAAAAAGTATTTGTATTAACATTCAAAAGACACTGAATTTATTACTTATCTAATGAGAAGGTTGAATTTGATGCATTTTAATGAATGTGTGAATATCAGGCTCTATTTTACTTAAAAACAACCATAAGTCCCCGCGTTCGATAACATGGTGCTGATTTCCCTTTTTAGTTACCAACGTTGCTACAACATTAAATCCACATTCAGCTAAGTAGGAAGATGGGAATGCTATCAGAAATTGTTGAACAATCGACCATAATCCTGGTTACAGTTACAAAATTGGTTTCTGTAAAATTCTTGGTAGCCAATCCTGAATTTAATTTTTGATTCTTCATTTTTCGTCAGTTCTAGTTGTTCTTTTAACTGGAATAATCCTGCTGTGTTGACATTTGAAAAAGGATCCAAAATGCAGTCTGGTATGTCCCTGTTTAGAATGTCCTGGAATCATTCCTTGAAATCATTGTGGAGGTTTTCCAAGTGTTGATAGTAAACAAGCAAGTTGTCCTGTTTGAATGATACTTCTGATAAATTTGGGAAGTTATTGAATTCACGTCTGCCAATATTTCTTTTGTATAATACTAGTTTTGACATGAAAGCAGCAACACTATTTTTTGTTGTAATTAAGTTTTAAGTAGTCACCTTGAAGTTAGAGATTGACATCATTAAACAATTTATACAGGTTTGTCAAGTACGTAATATCGTTTTTTGATGAGATGAGGTTGTCACACTGTTCCATGTCTTTGTTTCCTAGGAACTCTATCACAGACCCAAACAGCTTGTAAATTCAAATCAAACAAGTATCTTTTGACAGGCAGCATCTCTGAGTGAAGCAGCAATCAGTTGAAGTCTTTATCATTGGCAGTGCAAAGATGACTAAATAATCTGTCATTCAATGAGTTAGTTCTGATTTTATTAACTGCTTTGATATAATATATTGCAGTGATGTATGAAGGCGTTCACTCAGATTTTTCGCAACCAAATGCTGATGAATTAGCACAACAAGCACGTCAGGAACTTTATTTTTTAAGCATGAAGCCTTTGTGATGCCCTATCATAGCCGGTGCACCATCCATAGCAACTGACCAAATATTATTATAAAGAATTTCTTTTTCATCACAGAATTTTTCCAGTGTATTGAATATGGTTTCTGCTTTTGCATCTGTTTCCAAATTGGTAGCAAACTATAGTTCTTAACATACTTTTTCATCTTTGATAAACCTCATGCATGACAATAACTAGGCTTCATTGGTTGGTAAAGTGGATACATCCAACTGCATTGAAAATTTACAAGTCTGCAGATAATTGCACAATGTTTTCAGCCATCTCATCAATTCGTCTTTGCACAGAACTATTGCTCAAAGGAATATTTCGGATAATATCTGTAGCTGGTTTATGGAGCACAGAGGTTATTACTACTTTTATTGCTGGTAAAATTAAATTGTGGTTTGCCCATTTTAGCAATTAACAATGAGATACTGTACGAAGCTCAAAGTCCACCATCATCTTGCTTAGAAGCTGATGAAAAAAGTTTTTATATAGTTGGCTGAATTTCATACTTCTTTTTCATATCTTAAAAATAGGTCACATCATTGTATCGTCGTTTTTATTTGGGTGTATTTTATTAAAATGATCTTGAAGCCTAGAAGGCTTCATCGCTTCATTTGAAAATGTTTTTTGGACAAATAAGGCATATTGGCGATGATGGATTCGTAGGATTTTCGATAAATGTGTATTTAATATAATTCACACTATACTGCCATCTCTCCTTTCTTGCTTCCGACATGATTTTTACTTTACAGATATGTGAGTAGTAGTAGTGAATGTTAGACATATCCAAGTTAAGGGATATTTATTATGAAATATATATGCTGTGATAAGAAACGTGAAATTCAGAGCGTGTTGGCAATTAGCTGTCACAAGCCAGTAAAATAAAAAATGCTTGCTAAAAGACAATTGTTATCAATTAACTATTTCCATTACCCAAAAATATGTGACAAACAGAGCAAGTTCTCAATTAACTATTTCCTTTTTTCATTGGAAAGACCGATGTTAAGCACTCTGGTGGGAGATCCACTCAGGGAGACACAAAAGAAAACTTTGAGAGTGCTAAAAGATGCATGGAGAACTGTGATGGGTGTGCTGTGAATAAGGCGCAAAGATTGCGTTCACGAAGGTTTTATTCAATGCTCTAATGCTAATGTTAACATAATTCGTTTTTTGTATAACAAAGAATTGATTTGTTAAGTTTTCATTAAAAATCGAGAGAAGGCTTCATCGCTTCATTTGAAAATTCTAATTATTTTCTTCAAAAACTCCATGACGTTACTAGAGAGGTATCTCTCAATAGTGAAAAGATAAATGTTAAAAAACCAGTCATCAGTTGCGCATGATAATGCTAAGGAAAATACAATGAACAATCATTGCCTTTATATAGGCTGGAGACATATAACACGCATCGACAGGAATAAGATAAACATGCAGTGACTTGTTTATAACACTTGGCGCAGAAGCACGCAGGGACAATGGTGATATATTTCACATGAAATTGGATGATTTGAAAATTTTTGATTCAAATCTAAAATTAAAAATCATACAATCCAAGTTAATGTAGATCTGAACGTAATGGAGTCTTTCAGTTCAATTTTCATTCACTTCCTGAATTACAGAAATATATGAATTTTTGCACAAGTTATAAAAATGATTAAAGTACATACAATAACAAAAATTAAACAATATTGGTGCTAGTTCAGTTTTTCTACCCCCCTCAAATATTAATAAACAACTAAAAAAGTAAACACTTAAACAAAATCTATTGTTTTATTTTTTAAAAGGTAGAATTTTATATAAACCATTAATAAAGTCTATCAGTGGCTATAAAATAACTCTTCCTATATAGTTAATTAGCTTTATAAATAAAGTTAGGTTATTAGATTATGGTTAGTACCTTCTCTTGCGAGGTATAGTAGCTTAAACTACAATCATACATTTGGTAAACATATTAGTGTGTATTCCCCATACAGTAACAAAATCGTGATATAATTTATTAATTCTCACTACTGCTGAGTATAAAGGAACCCATCAGACAAAAGTTTTACTAAGTACAGTCAAAAGTCTTTAATCCGGACGCCCATAATCCGGAATGAAAGCTACAAACTTTCTGCACATGTATCAATGCATTGATGCATGCGCGTAATACGTTTACGCATGTGCATATGCGTGTACACATGTGCATAATACGTTTATGCATGAACATTTAATGTCTAACAGACGGTATAAGCTAAGCTAAAATGATCTAATTATCTATTTCAGTTCATGTTGCAGATTGCATTGTTCCTTAATCTTCTAATTGGATAAGGCTTATTATTTTTTGCAGACTGTTAGAGCAATTTTATAAAAGTAAGCTTGAACTTTCAATTATGTCAAAAAGAATTTCCGATTCTGGAGCTGCCAAAGGATCTAGAAAGACAAAACCATGTTTCGATGTCCATCAAACAAAAAGTGGAATTGCTGCAAAAAATGGATAAAGGCATATCCTTTGTTTCTCTAACCATTCCGAAATCTGTTAATCAATTTCACGCTGCTCTGCGGGGGAGGGACGTCGCGGCACGCAACGAACTGGTAATTCCTTACTAAATGTAGTATTTCATCTCGATATACTCCGTCTTTGATATGATTTAAATCAAATTCCTCATCATTATTAATACCACAAATACACATCAAATAGTTTTCTGGTTGCAATTTTCTAATTTCTACTATGCGTAATGTGTACTATGCTTTATGCATGCGCTCGTTGAAAGAAATGTTTAATAAAGTAAACAAATAAATATTAAGCTTTTTT